TATGGCATTATCTCTGCACTGCCATTAGACTGGAGGAATAGTCGTGCAATTTGTGTACGTCCAGAGCCTCCTATTAGTCTAGTCACCGGTGAACAAATAATTATACTTGAAAATACCACCCAAAAGCAATTACGTAAGCTGTTCACCTCCCATGTTTTTACAACACCCAAAAGTCAACTCTTTCTTAATACTTTGACTATAGCTCTCTTGTCGCTTATGAAAGATTTGTATAAATATGCTGGGATCACCATAAATTGTGACAAAACGGAAGCAATGTGGCTGGGAAAGTGGAAGAATCGCAGAGATAATCCGTTCGGGGTTAAATGACCAACATCACCAATCAAAATTGTTGGTACGTTTTTCTCGTACAACAAAAATAAAGCATGTGACCTTAATCTATCAGGATTATTAAACTCTGTCAAGTCCATACTAAATTGGTGGTTATCTCGAGGACTCACTATAATTGGTAAAATAACAATTTACAAATCCTTAATAATTCCAAAATTGATATACCTATTAAACTCTATCTATATAGAGCCGTTTGATATGAAGACTATTAACAGTATAATTTATAATTTTATTTGGAAAGGACATGATAGAGTTGCTCGAAACACGATAAATGGTGATGTTGGCCAAGGTGGGTTAAATATGATTGGGATGGTCGATATGTATAAATCTCTAATGGTGAAATAGTTACTGTAAACAACTCTATTTAAATGACAAAATAAATCATCCATGGAAGTTATTTCTGAATACATATTTGGGACCTGTCGGTGGAAAACTAATCTTTAAATGTGATTATAAAGTTGATCATCAACCGATTGATATTTCAGATTTCTATATTACAATGTTAAACATTTGGTCAGAGATAAGACCATCAAAAACTCTTCATAGCTCTGAGAAAATAATCTGAAATAACTCAAATATTTTAATTAACAACAAAAGTTATTGGGAATTTTACTCGCATGGAATTTTGTACATATCTGACATTTTTAACGATGAAAAAGCGATAAAAACATGTGATGACTTGATTCTATTAGGCCTTTCTCCAATTCAATTATTAAAATGGAGAAGCGTTATTTCGGCAATCCCATCTAAATGGAAGCGTGACCTTCCTAAAATCGTACGCCCCGAACCCCCAATTTCAGTTATTATCAAAGAAATTCTAACTCCACTCAGCGACTACGAAAAGTTTTCTCAAATCTTAGCTTTGTTCCTCCAATTAGTAAATTTCATTTTCAGCAATTATTTAAAATTGATGAATCAGAATGGAAATTTTTCTTTAATCTCCCCTTTGTTGCATGTTTGGATACCAGACTTCAAGAATTCCAGTGGAAACTTTCGCATAACATCATCTATACAAACTGAACATTGTATCATATGACACCACCACGAGTACAGTCCAGTCGTTGTACCTTTTGTGGAACAGCAGAGGAAACCATTTTACATATATTTGTGAATTGTTATGTTGTTAAGTCTCTCTGACGTGGTTTTCTCAATAAATGGGGTCATCAGCTGGGCGCTCCCTCTGCCCTTACCGATAAGCAAATTTTGCATGGTGACCAAGATTTCAACATTTTATTGAATCATTTGATAATGTTAACAAAAAAATTCATATGTGACAGCAAGCTTAAAAAATATCCTCCAACACTGAACGGCTTACACGTCAACATGACGCATATTAAGCAGATTGAAGAATACATTGCTAAAAGAAACAACTGTATAGACAATTTCAACAAAAAATGGGGAATATTAAAATACTTATTGATATATATAATCACCTCATTTATCTAGTCACTTTTTCGGCCTGGTCTTGCTTTTATTGTTTTGTCTGTAACTATTTTTTTTGTCTGTATTTTTTCTGTGTATTGTGAATTTGTTTGTGCATTGAAAATAAAATTAAAAGTGCAGGACTGAACAATTGTTTACCTTTGAGGTGAACGGAAATTACTCGCTTTTGAGGGTGTCATAATAAGCTATGAAAAAGTGAAGACCTTGAAGTACTTTTTGTACTTTAATACAAAGTTATTTTTTGTTCGATTGCCTAATGCATTCAGGTTCATGTACTGCAAGTTAGAGTGCACATACTTAAACAGCCATCCCTCAGCAATCAATTCAGCTAAGGTATTTTCTGTGTCGAATCACTAAATATCTGGTTCTCATTATCAGTAGTTAAAGTTTACCCCATATCTTGAAAATTGCACTTGCTAATGACACCAAAATTTAACTTTTTAACCACAAGAAAAACACAATTTTAGGTAAAACAAGTCATTGAAAATGACACAGTCCCCGTTAAGTTCTCTTTGTGCTTGTCATATTAAAGCGGAGGGGTTGTCCGAGCGTGTCCTTGAAACTTGAGTTCCAAGTGGCGTATACAACAGTTTATTAACATCAAAACACGTGTTCCGTGTAGTAGTAATATGGGCAAAAATAAAAACAGCCGTTATTCGGTCATCTTTGATCTGATTATGAAACACACTGATATGTATGATGTATGTTCCAAATACGAATGAAAATGGTACATAAATTGTGGAAATATAGTAGTAAGGCCAAAAAGTCAGATTTTGAAACAAATTGTCATGGACATGCATCGTAACATGTATAAAGTACATGTATGTGCCAAATTTGAATGAAAACTGACAGAGCACGTCCAAGATTCCGCATAACAAAAAAAAAAATGCCTGCCAGTTGACCATCTTTGATCCAATTGCAAAATAAATCGTCATGGACATGTATCCTAACATGTATAATCTATGTACCAAGTTTGAATGACAACTGACAAAGCATGTCCAAAATGCAACATTTTCAAAAAACAAGATGGCTGCCAGTCGGCCATTTTGAATCGAATTGCTAAACCACTGCATGTGCATATGTCCCACATAAGGTACTAGAAACATACAAAGAATGAACGGAATCAGTCTACAGGAAATATGACTCTGGACAGACTGAGGGACGGAAGGACACATGGACAGATGGACAAACTCAGGAACTCACGGATGGTCGGGGACATGTTATCCTAACATGTATGATCTATGTACTAAATTTGAATGAAAACTGACAAAGCATGTTCAAAATACGACATTTTCAAAAAACAAGATGGCTGCCAGTCGGCCATCTTTGACCCAATTTTGAAATAAATTATCATGAACATGTATCCTAACATGTTTAATCTATGTACCAAGTTTTAATGAAAACTGATAAAGCATGTCCAAAATACAACATTTTCAAAAAATAAGATGGCTGCCAGTCGACCATTTTGAATCGAATCGCTAAACCACTGCATGTGCATATGTCCCACATAAAGTACTAGGCACATGCAAAGAATGAACGGAATCAGTCCAAGGGATTCTAAGATACGACTCTGGACAGACATACAGACGGACGGACAAACGGAGACCGAATTATAAGTCCCCGTTTTCGGACTTCGTCCGAACGGGGACTAATTAAATGAATACAGATAAAAAATGTACCAAAATCGAACTTGGCTGAGATCTCAAACTGGTTTATATCCAAGTTTGAAAGAACAAGAATAAGAATGATCAACATTTTCCCCTAATATACCTTGACTTGCCTCTACGATAAGGACAGGACAAACAATTCCATAAACTTGATTTCTATTATTACGGTGTACCAACCTTTTGTTTCCCAGAATGCAGTTTTGTAGTAAGTTACTGTTTTAATAACTGAACCCATAGGAATTCTTTGGACTGCT